ATTTCTCATTTTAATGAAGATCTTAAATCATTATAATTGTCTCTACAAAATAATAAAAACCCGCTTAATGGAATTGTGTAATAATTATTTTGCAACAACAACAAAAATATATAATAATTTTCATCACGGTATTTTTTTTCTGCTATTCAGATGCAATACAAAAACAATAAAAACAACAACTACAAAAATGAAGATCTTACCTTTCTAAAATTAATTTGCTGATTTATACAAACAAATTTGACATTTGAATTCAACACAAAACAAATAATGTGGTAAACTATTTGCGTCAGGTGAAACCAAAAACACACACAGTCACACACACATACTTACTGCAAAAAATACCTCGTTGTCATGCATACATTTTCTAATGGAAACGAACAAATTTGGAAAATCCCAATTTATGGGGATTTTTATACAAAAATCAGCTATTTTTTCACAACACTCTACAGTTAAGTTGCCTGTCGTCACCGCCGCCACCACAAATCAATAACAAGCCGCAGCTTTGCACAGTATAAAGAAACAAACAAGACCACCGCAAACAGTTAACAAAAAAAAAACTCTCATAAAAATTTTTCCTTAAGGGAAAAGTTTGTCAGCATCAATTAACATGACAAAACTTTGCCATACGAGTTAATAACAATAATTTGTAAATATTTTGTTAGACAAGCTACAAACAAATAACAACACAACACACACATACATCACAACAAAAATGACAATAATTCATAACTAATATTCGGTTATTTTGTTTTTCGTTTTCTTTTTTTTCCTCTGTTATTATTTTTCTTTGTTGTTATTTTCTTTTTTTACAACAGGTGTTGGTTGCTAATCTAACGCAACCAGCAGAGAGATAGCAACAAAACGGCTAACCTACAACAACTCTATTCTCCACAAAGCCGTGTGCCGTGCTGTGTGCCTGCAATTCTAACGCGACAACAGCAGCCCGGGCATCATCGGTCACACCACAGCCAACCACAAAAACAGCGTCGATCGTCGTCGGCTTATTATAGCTCTCGTCACATCGAAGATAAAGCCGCAGTAGTGGTTGTAGATCAAACCCAACCAGCCAAAGACCAACAATTACAACTTACAAGCAGCAGCAGCAACAATAACAGCAACACTAGTTGTTGTCATAATTGTAACTGCCACCAGCAACCACAGCCACAACAATATTGCCTTGGTGGTGGCCACCATCGCCATAGCCGCCGTCATAGCCACCGCCACTGTTATTTCTGCTGCTGCGGTTGTGGTGGTTACTGCCACTTTTGGTGGATGTTGTTAACTCTAGGCACGCATAAAATCTACAAAATTACCTCCTTAACTATAGACAGTTACAAACAACTATTTGGCTTGATTACCATGTTATTAACAGTATTAAGTGTACAGCAATCAAATGCGGTATTTGCCATGGCAGCTCCAGTGACGTCGTCATCGTCACCAGCAGCACATCTATCGGTATTAGCATCTGTTCCGGTGCCACAACAACATAATTTACTGCAACACCACCATTATTCCGCCCGCCTTCCATCTCGACTGCCATCTCATCATTTGGTGCAACATCCTGAAGCACCATTGGATTTTCTATTGGACGAAACTAATAATAATAACAATAACAATCATAACAGCCGCAACAACAACAACATCAATATTAATAATAGTAATAGTAATAATGTTAATCATCATCATTATCAACATCAATCGTCGTTGACTGAAATGGAAACCGAAGAGAGATTATTACACAAACGTCATACCACCAGTTGGCATGATCTGTATACTCGAACAATGAATTCGAATGATATTGTCTGGTATAATCCCTGCGGTGGACATTATATTAATAGCAATAATGTGGATAATAAAAAGACAAATAAGAAGCCGCCTCTCAAAAAGGTAAGTTGGAACTTATTTAGTAGAAAAATAATTATGATTTTCAGGTTGGAGGAATCGACAGAATTAAAAAAAAATAATTAACCAATAAGTAAAACAGTAAAGTCGGGCGGGGCCGACAATATGATACCCTTCACCACTTTGGGTATATTCAACAGATGAATGCTAACAGACGTCGAATTCTGCTATCTATACTAAATTGTTCTTTGTTCAGATATAGGGTTACTACTTACAATGGGACAAAATTACGTAAAATCGGGAGAAAATATATATAGAAGCTCTATCCAAATCTGAACCGATTTCAAAACTTTCCACATTTCAAAATGTTAGTACGTTGTGCAAAATTTGTGTCAATTTTGTGTAGAATCGGACGAAAATATATATGTAGAGGCTATATAAATCTGAACAGATTTTAATGAGAATGGCAGAGGTTAACTTATATTAACTACAGTTTATTGTACAAAATTGTGTGTAAATCGGACAAACTTTGGGTCTTTAGTGCACAATCCTCATCACTCCAGACTCATTTCAGTACACTATGCCAAATTTTGTGCAAATCGAAATATGTATAGGGACTTTGGTACACCTTTTACATTAAATCGGACGAAAATGTATAAGGAGCTATATGTAAATCCAAACCGATTTTCACGAACTTAATTAAGTACGCTATGCCAAATTCCGTGCAAATCGAAAGATATATAGGGACTTTAGTACACCATTTACCTTAAATCGGACGAAAATATATATGGAAGCCGATTTTCAGGAAACATAACACACATAATTTTAGACCTAATTCATTTCGCTATGCCAAATTTCGGGTAAATCAAAAGATATATATAGGTACTTTGGTACACCATTTACCTTAAATCGGACGAAGATATATATGGGGCTATAATTAAAAATGAATCGGTTTTCAGGAAACTTAACACGCATCATTCTAGACCTAATCCATTTCGTTATGACAAATTTCGGGCAAATCAAAAGATATATAGGGTTTTTAGTACACCGTTTACCTTAAATCTGACGAAGATATATATGGGAGCTATATCTAAATCTGAACCGATTTTCAGGAAACTTAACACACATCATTCTAGACCTAATCCATTTCGCTATGCCAAATTTCGGGCAAATCGAAAGATATATGGGGACTTTGGTACAGCATTTACCTTAAATCGGACGAAGATATATATGGGAGCTATATCTAATTCTGAACCGGTTTTAAGGAAACTTAACACACATCATTCTAGACCTAATCCATTTCGCTATGCCAAATTTCCGGCAAATCGAAAGATAAATGGGGACTTGGGTACAGCATTTACCTTAAATCGGACGAAAATATATATGAGAGCTATATCTAATTTTGAACCGATTTTTCAATTTCAATAGGCTTCGTCCTTGGGCCAATTGAGTGACCTGTGCCAAATTTCATCCAAATCGGATCATAAATGCGACCTGTACTTTGTTAACAAAAACACCAGGACGTACGGACGGACATGCATAAATCGACTCAGAAAGTGATTCTATGCATATTCTCAAAAGGAACCATGGGTCTATCTCGAGTATTTTTGCCTGTTACAAACATATGCACAAAGACATAATACCATGTACCACAGTGTGGTGAAGGGTATAAAAACGTTTTTCATAATTTATAATATCGTTGAGGGCCTTCTTATCCTCTGAGAGAACACTAAGTTTGGAAACTAGGTCTAGTACCTTCAATATTCCGAAAAGCGGGAGATGCAATTATTAAAAACTTGCACTTATATTGCCAACGTAACTATTATTTTTGTAGATCTAAGATCTAATAAAAGACGTAGATTTTTTAAAAATATTTTTTCAAAGACTATTGCAGGTTGTGAATGTTTTAAAATCATTTTTAGGGTTTAATACAAATCGTAGATTTTAAAAAATATTATTTTATTGACTATGCCTGGCGTCGATTTTTTAAAAATATTTTTCTTCAAGGACTCACACATGGTGTAGATTTTTTAAAGATATTTTACTTATCTATATTCTATATTTATTACGTCTATTTTTATCTAAAAAGAATATTTTCTGTTTTCTTTCAGATTTTACGCACCCTTCAGAAGGCTACAGTTAAGGAACATCATTCCCTTAATGCCCGGCAATTGGTGGCAATTGATATACGCAATATGAGTATGTGGAATGTTGGCTATGATAACAAATATAAATTTTTGCCGCAAATCGAAGAAAAATCGAATGTAAGTATTAACCAAATTGTTATTCTATTCAATATGCAAATAATAATAAAATTGCAACCAATTATCATGAAAGAAAAACATAAAACCATTTCTCAGAACAATAAGTCCTAACTAAGGACAAATAAATTAATATAACCAAATCAATTAATGTTACGTCCGTGGCTGGTGACGATATTCACACAGCTATTTAACGTATTTAACCCTAGTCATGATGTTGTCATTAAAAATTACCGGAATTTTATGAAATTCCGTAACCACGATAAAACACGATTGACGTCACAGCAGTGCTAAAGTTTTATTTATTTTCTTTTTTTTTACAACAATCCAATTGAAAGGGAATGATAAAAAATCAATGCGGTCAAGAATTGTAGAATGATATTGCGTATGTACAAAAAAAAAAAAAATAAATAAATAAATAAAATCGTATAGGACCATGAGTGTACCCCCTCAAGCATTATGTCTTTATTTGTAAAACATAACTCTTCAAAATAAATGAAATAATGCTGCCATACACACAAAAACCAAAGCATAGATTGTTCAGCAAAAAAACCTATTTAACGGCAATAATTGATCATATTTGGTTTCCATAAAATTGCTAATGAATCATCAATCTTCAATTGTATCACATGAATTTGCCGGTCGTATTGTTGTTATTGCTGTTTTTATTTCCGTGGAATCCCCCAGTTTATTTTCTGTTGACTATAGAGGGAATAGTGGGTTTTGTGGGGGGCGTGTGTGAGCGTGCGGTTAGTGTTATTTTAAATATTCAGACAGTGACTGCTTAACAATGTTTTTATTATTGCCATTACACACAAGTACACACTCAAGAGATTTATAATGAGGAAGATGTTCAGAGTGCTCAGAATAAATATTGAAAATTGTTTTCCCATTGATTACACATTGATTAAGAAGTATGAAAATATGTTTAAGGCATTTATTTTTTCAATAATATTTTTTCAGGGACTAATACAAGGCGTGGCTTTTTTAAACGTAGTCGATCTCTAATATTAGTTTTTGGAAGGATTGTTTTCTATCAAATCGAAGTCCTCATCCACATCCTCTCTTATTGAAACATTTTTTTATACCCTTCACCACACTGTGGTACAGGGTATTGTCTATGTACATATGTTTGTAACAGGCAAAATGAATCGAGATAGACCCATGGTTCCTTTCGAGAATATGCATAGAATCACTTTATGCATGTCTGTCCGTCTGTTGATGTTAAATTGTAAACAAAGTACAGGTCGCATTTATAATCCAATTTGGCAGAAATTTGGTACAGCTCATTTATTTATTGAAATTGATATTTTGATATAGCTCCCAATATATTTTTGCCCGATTTACGGACTTTAGTCCCGCAAATCATTCGATTTGCACGAATTTTTGCATAGCGTACTGAATTAAGTCTAGAATGATATGTGTTAAGTTTCCTGAAAATCGATTCAGATTTAGATATAGCTACCATATATAGTTTCGTCCGATTTTAAGTAAATGGTGCACTAAAGATCCACAGCTAGGCCTGTTGACAAAACGTACTGAAGTTAATATAAATTTGTCTCTGACAAGTTTCCTTGAAATCTGTTTCGATATAGATATAACATAGCTTCTATATATAATTTCGACCTATTCATGTTAATCAATGCATGTCTGATTATCAAATTCGTTCAATTTCACGTCAATGTTCTTACGATACATATGTAGAATATACTCAAGGTGGTGAAGGGTATAATATAGTCGGCCCAGCCCGACTTTAATACTTTCCTTACTGGTTTTTATTTGGATATTTTTTTTTTCATGAAATCTAGAAAAAGCGTTTATAAATTATCAGATATTCAAACTTTTTTTTTCATTTCAATACATTTTTCCAAAACCATTCCACAACGTTTTGTTATGACAAGTCTCCTTTGGTTTTGACTTACTTATCGTACGATTGAATAAAATCAATTGCTGTTGTTGTTTCTGCCACTTACTTGGGTGCTGTTGTTGTTGTTTTTATTGTTGTTTTTATCGACTCAAGCAATTATTGTTGTTTATTTACATTTAGATGTTAAGGTATCTGACAGTGTGGCACAAATAAATTTTGTAATCGAATTATTGGATAGGTTATAGTATTTATACCCTACAATTTGCTGTTGCTTTACTTCATAAATAATAGGTCCACTAGAAAACCTGACCTGTGGCGAATTTTTCCTTCTGTTCTTCTGGCCGTAACTTATTTACACGTTATTCTATTAAGATAAATAATGTGTTATATTAAGCGTCATCAATAGATGGCGCTATGGTCGCCAAATTGTCAGGCTGTTAGGGAAAATTAAAGCATTTTTAAAATGCTCATAATTTTTGAACGAATTGTGATATATGGAAAATGTAAAGGGTTACGTTCAGCTTAAAGCTCATTTTAATGTTATCTTAATTATACCAATACCCCGATTTTCCAAACAGCCTTTTGCGACGCCATCTATTGTTGCGGTAGGTTAATATGGCGAAAATTTTGAATCAATATCTATTTAAATTACACATTCAAAATTTATACAGAATCTGGCGATTTTCTGTTAAGATGTCAACCCTGGCAAACACTTGCCGTCAGTGTCATCTATTGATTGGGTAGATCCAAAAATCGATCATGCAAAACTTAAATCTCAGTTATTTTTGGTATAAATGATTTCGTATTCTCGATATTACAATAATTATTACAATGAAAGGTATAATCGTATACATTCTTGTGAAAGAATAAAAACTTCACTATTTGTAATTTTTGATTCATATCCATTAATAGATGGCGCTAGCATACCTCTTTTCTTTTCGCATTGTCTATATTAAAATGAAAGTGGTGCCATAAGAAGGATACAGTTGTATACTTTATTCTGCATTACATAAATATATATCGTTCCAGGATATTGAATGATTCTTCACATTTCTGGTCTGTAGAACTATATTAAACCCTTTTAAGATAAATAAAATAAGATATTATGAGTTAAAAATATACATTTGATTTGTGCCTGTATCGTTATACGTTAAAAAGTTATGAAAACTGTAATTTTCTGTTCACATGGCAAATCTGTAAAAAATCTTTGAATTGCCAGATAGTGTATGTCCTAATAACCAAGAGCATTCAAATTATTTCTGCATCATTACGCATTCAAAAGTTATAACAAATATCAACTGCCGTTGTCTTGCCTTAATTTGAAAAATTTGTCATCAACGCCATCTATTGAATGAGTAGATACAAATATTGATTATGCAAAATTTAAACTGCATTTGTTTATCCTAAAAATTTTGACCTACTGTAAATATTTATACCCTACACAACTATGTTGTCAGTGTATTATAGCTTTGTGCAGCCCCAAGAGTTTGTAACGCCGCGAAATATTGATCCTAGATCCACCTTTAAGTATACCGATCATATCATATCTCGACTAGCTGATTCGATCTAGGCATGTGTGTCCGTCCGTCCGTCTGTCCATTATAATTTGTAAACACGATACTGGCCACAGTTATGGACCAATCTTCACGAAATTTTGCATGTAGGATGGGTTCTGCCCAATGAAGACCCCTATTGTTTTTGTAAATATCGGTTACTATTTAGGGGATGAAATGGACCAAAAACTTTATTTTTTTCTGATTTTCTGGTCGCTCCAGAGGACTCAATTATGGCCCAAACATCACGATTTTTTACATGGAGAAGGGGATCCAAAGAGGGCCAAAGAATAAGCATGCCCATTTTGATAAAGATCGGCCATATTTAGCGGGTCAAGTGGACCCTGACTTTTATGTGAAAAATTACAATATTTGTATTCTATAGCGTATATATTTACCCCTGAAGGACATAGATCCGAGAAGTTGACAATGTATACAAGAGGAGTGGTCGACCTTCGAATTGATACCAATTTTATTATCGTATGTACTCGGGTGTCGGAGTTACACTTAAGTATTTACAGGTGCTTACGTATTCAGATATTATTTAGTAACCCATTGCCACACTAGAGGGCGGTAATATATTTTTAAATTTTTCATGAGGATCCAGGTATGGTCAAGGACAATACGGTGATGATCAGATAATAATTTTGCGATGAACTGGACCGAAAACATTTGCAAAAGGGTGTAAATATCGCGAAATATTTCCCAAGCTTAGAATATAGAAGAGCAGGAAGTTCGATTTTCGTGGAAGTTGTGTAGGGTATCATATGGTCGGCTCCGTCCGATTTTAATGCTCCGCTCACTGGTTAAATCAAATTGTTGCGATATGAAAGGTACAATTGCATAATTTCTCGAAAAATAATTTTAATTTTAATATGAAATGTAGTACTAAAATTTTCTAAAATGTCATTCGGTAATATTTGTGTTATATGATTTTTTTGCTGAATGACTATTTACAATTTTATATGACACCATTTTTGTTGAAATGCAATAATCTGTTCAAAAGTTAGACAGTAGATAGTTTGGACATAAAAAACAGATTTCAGTTGAATAATGCCCATCAATAGATGGCGCTGACGACGGGTTTATAAAAATTGCATACCTAATTTCGTATAATCGTAAAATAAATAATCATAAAATTTCATAATTTGTTGATTTAGGATTTGGCCCAAATATTTGGTAATGCATAAATTGGCTCAGAAAGTGATTCTATGCACATCCCAAAATGTAAATATGAGTCTATCTTGATCCTAATCTGTATTATAGTCATGATAACACTCAGATATACTCAGACACCTGATGTGTACACCGAAGGAGTTAAAAATACCCATATAAATAGTTGTGTAGAGTATTATATAGTCGGCCACACAAGTAGGTACTTCCTTTTTTTTTTTAACAACTCATTTCGCTAAATATAATAGTGTCCACACCATTTGTTTATAAATATATTACGAAATTTTGTTAAGCAAAAAAATCTATTTAAAGAAATACGTATTTATTTATTTTAGTTTAGTTTTTGCAATGAATTATTTATAGATTTAGCGTTATTTGTTTTAATGCCATCACTTAATTTAGTGTTCACATGTCATTCAGCAGATGAATGATGTAAAACAACAACAAAAACAAATTTGCAATAGAATTAGCAAACATACTGATCGATTGATCGGATTCAAGTTCAATGAACTGTGAACGCTGTAGAAAAATAGAATGTGATTTATTTGTGGGGAAATTTGCATGTGCAACGGAAGTGAATTTAAAAAAAGAGGAAATAGATCAATATTTTAGAAAAGATTAGAATCAAGAAATTTTTTTACATTTATTTTCACATTTATTTATTTTAAGTCTTACATATATTTTTATTTAAAAAAAATCTAATAACATTTTCCCATCTTGTTTTCCTATTTCCAGTTCTCTCTTCGTCGCTGTTATCACCAAATGCAAAAATATGTAGCCGGCTTCGATTATTTACATCGAGCTCAACTGACCTGGGATTATAACAAGGGTATGCAACAAAGTCAAACCTCCCGAGAGTTATTGTCGCTGCGTAATAATGCCCGAACAATTCTATGTAATATTGAACATGCCATTAATAATACAACTACAAAATCCAAGGTATCACGCACCATCGATTCATTGTTAATACCGCGTCGTCGAATGGAATCTCTCTTAAAATTCGATACTGATATTAAAAAAGTGTCACCGCTAAATTGGAATAAACACAATAAACAATCAAATAATGATAATAAAGAAGGAAAATTAATTCAAATAAGTCCAATCGATTTGAAATTTGCCAAATCTCGTTATTTAACATATATAAGAAAATTAATCAAATTATTACGCCGCACCACAAAGCTAATGGGTGGTGTAGAAAATAATAATCAAACAACAAAAATGCCAATGAATAGCAAACAACAGAATCAGGAAACAAAACAAACACCGAAAAAGAGGAAAACGCCAAGGAAACAACAAAATCGTCGGAATAGAAATAATAAACAAAAAATCCAATAAGACAGCTAACCTCGAATAATAATATTCGAATGTTCTAATTATTTATACTGATAATAATCTCTTCACAAAACAAACAACTGAATATTCCATGACAACTATTTATATTTTTTTCAAAACTTTTCATATAAGTTATTATTCCATTTTTATTTAAACTTATTTATTTATTCAGTCATATTTATTGTTATTATTTATCAGTTCGATTTTATATTCTCCTGCATGCTCACATTTATCTACTTTTAATTCGTATCATTATATCTTATACATATAAAAATATGTTTTCGTATTATTGATTTGTTCTGCAGCTACTGTGATATAGTTCGTATTAAATATTTATAGTTTGTAGTATTTTATATATAAATATTTTTTTATATTATACATTTTGCCTCATAGTATGTAATAGCTATAAAAAATAAGAAAATAAACTTCAAATGACAAGACAAGCAAAAAAATAATTTGTTTTTATTTTTAAAGAGTGGAAACGAACCAAATCCAGTATCACTTTGGGATGTCTAAGACTGATTTCTAAGAGCTCGAACATCGTATTTTGATATAGTTTCAATAAAGCCCAAAAGACCCAAAAAAGGAATGCTTTTATGTGGACTAAAAAGTTGTCCTTAAGAAGGACTTAATGTGTCATTTCTCAAGATATGGATTTTTATATATCGTAGAAAGCTTAACGTGGATATTCAAAAAAAAGTGAATATCCTTTATCGGCTTAGAAAGCTCAATGGCCTTCAAAACTTATATTTGAGAGTTCAAGAACGATGGTTTTTAAATATATTTTAAAGGTCGAATTTTTTAAATATATTGGGGAGTGGCGAACAATTGTTTAAATTTATTTAGAGAGCTAAATTCTGGAGTTTTCAAATATATTTAAGTAGTCAGAAAAGTCGATTTTAAATGAATTTAGATGTTCGAAACATGGTATTTGTAAATCTATTTAGCGGTGACCAGAGATGGCCTGTCAGAAACAAATCCATTAGGTTTTTATACCCTACACAACTATGTTGGCAGGGTATTATAGCTTTGTGCAGCCCCAAATGTTTGTAACGCCGCGAAATATTGGTCCTAGACCCACCTTTAAATATACCGATCGTCATATCTCGACTAGCTGAGTCGATCTAGACATGTGTGTCCGTCCGTCCGTCTGTCCATTATAATTTGTAAACACGATACAGGCCACAGTTATGGACCAATCTTCACGATAGGATAGGGTCTGGCCAATGAAGACCCCTATTGTTTTTGGAAAAGATCGATTAATATTTAGGGGATGAAATGGACCAAAAACATTATTTTTGTCGGTTTTTCTGGTCGCTCCAGAGGCCGCAATTATGGCCCAAACACCGCGAATTTTTGCATGGAGAAGGGGATCGGGCCAGAGAATAAGCATGCATGTTTTGATAAAGATCGGTCAATATTTAGCGGGTCAAATGGACCCTGACTTTTGTGTGAAAAATGACAACATTTGTATTCTATGGCATATATATTTACTCCTGGAGGATGTAGACCCGAGGAGCCTTTAAATCATACCAAATATAGTGATGTATCTACTCAGATGTGGGAGTTACAGTCAAGGTTCTTACGTATACAGATATTATTTAGTAACCCATTACCCGCTGATGGCTTTAAAAATGTTCATGAAGTTCCAGTTATGGTCAAGAACAACGCCTACAATTTTCGGTGATGATCAGATTAAAATTTTGGGATGAAATGGACCGAAAACTTAATTTTGTGTGTGTTTTCGAGTCGAGTATAATCCGAAAATCACAACAAAAACCACAGTGACGGTAATCTGGACAAGTAATTAGAAGGACTGTACTGAATATTCGAAAAAGTAAGGAAGAGGTGTTGTTGACCACTAATCGGGCAAGAGGGGGCAAATATCACGAAATATTACTCAGACTCGTAATAAAAATCCTCAGAAAGTTAGAGTTCGTGGTAGTTGTGTAGGGTATCGTATGGTCGGCCCCGTCCGACTATACTGCTCCGCTCACTGATTGACAAATTAGCTATTTCCATTAATCAATTTGGACATTACACATGCTTTACTCAAATTAATATAAAATTTCAAAAGTCGAAAAACTAAAAATTCGTCACACGGACCATCCCTGGCGGTGACTAAAAATGGATTACTTATATACATTTTGAAAGTCTGACTTTTTTAAAAACTTTTTGCGGTATTACGGTTAAAGGAAAAAATTAAGAAAAGGGCGCACAATGACTCGAGAAAGAACAAGGATATTTTCCATAAAAATTTGATTTGGCAGTTGATATAACAGCTCAAAAATTACATACAAAGTAACAAACAAAAATATAAAGGGTTTTTCTTCATGATACTAGCAAAAAAACCTTGTCACGACTCAAAAACATGAGCTATTGAATTTCCACTCCCAGACCATGAGCTCAATTTAGTGTAGACATATTCCGTCCAAAGTACAGGTCGCATTTATGATCCGACTTGGATGAAATTTGGCACATCCCACTTAATTGGCCCAAGGACGATCTCTATTGAAATTGGAGAAAATCGGTTCAGATTTAGATATAGCTCTCATATATAGTTTCGTCCGATTGTATGTAAATGGTGCAGCAAACTTCTAATACTGTTTCGACATTTCTACAACTAGAAATATTGTAAACAAACAAAAAAATGAATAAAATATTTTAGAAAAACTAATTATATGTGATGATAAGCTCAGTAGTAATAAGTTGTTCAATGTTTGTCATTTATTAGAAGGCATTTAAGAGAAAAATCTATTAGAACTACCATCAGTTCTGTGAGTAGATGCTGACGTTTAGAGAAATGTTCAATCAACTGCTCATATTAGCTTGAAAGCGTATTTTCGACTACCAAAATATGCCGTTGTGTACATAGATGAAGCCTTAAACCCTGATTTCCGAAAGACTGGCGGTCAACAGCAATTCCTCTTCTCTTAAAAATGTGTGCAGCTCTGATGTTTTTTGTGGAGGGAAGTTTTCAAAAGTCCCATAGCAATGACTTCAACCTTTGCATGGCTCAACCGACAATGTCGGTGCTTTTCGCCGAAGTTATCCGGCTAATGTGTAAAATTTGGATTGTATCCATATTAACGGAGGAAGAAAAAGGGAAGAATAAAAATTGTTTATTCGAAAACAAAGTTCCAGAGTGTTGTCGGATGTATTGATGATACCCACGTACATATCATGGACCCAAAAGAAGATGTTCGCCACTTTCTGTCATTCATTTGGAATGCGTGTTGGCGGGCCATAGCAGTTAAGGTCTTCTGAAATAGCCTTCCTCACATCATCAATAGTGGCTTTGGTTTGAACAAAAGTCCGCACGATGCGTGCTACATTTGGGTGAGCTTCCATCCGGCAATAAGGACCTCAAATTTTTCCTTTGTAGTAATATTAGCCATTATGGGAAGCCTACAAAGTTCAGTTATTGTAAACAGCAATCACAAATAAATGGTTGCCGAAAAATTCTATTTGAAGCACCTGAATTTGACAACAGTTGCCATCCATAATGCAAATTTGGCTACTGGCAACGCCACTAAACTATGGTTGCCATCCGTAATCGAACCATTAGATACGGTTCCCAGAAATAGTTTCGTGTGATTTTATATAAATAGAGCACCATACTGCTAATATTGGTCCGATTGAGACAAAATTTTGCACAGCATACTGAATAAAGTCCAGTTTGATGTGTGTGAAGTTTTGTTGAAATTGGTTCAGATTTACATATATCTCCCATATAAATTTTTGCCGGATTTCATACAAATGTTACACCAAAAGTTCAAGTCTGTCCGATAGACATGCAATTTGTTTTAAAGGTTTTAGAATGGTATGTGTATGGCTTTTATGTATGTAGATCACATTTGTTTTTAACCAGATTCCATGTCAATGGTCATCTAAAGATCTCTCTTCTATCAACAGGATGTTATACACATTATCATCTCTTGTATGTACCCAAAGTGGTCGGCCACGTCCGACTTTTGAACTTGTATTACTGATTTCTATATATATTTAGAGGCACTTGAACAAGGATTTGTTTTAAGTTTTCCTGATATCGTATGAGCCACATTTTTATATTTCGAGGTCTAAAAATCTCTTACAGTTTAAGGAAACAACAAAACAAAACACATAACAAAACACTCACAAAGACTCATGATAGAACAAGAATATTAAAAAATTCAATTTGACTAAACAAAAATGCAGTGAGTCACAAATGATATAATTGCATACTAATGAATGAATTAAATGTTAATCTTTTTTTATATGTCAACATGAACGTCTTAATGAATGCAATAAAATAATCAATATCTATATAACAATGTTACCTATTATCCGATGGGGCATACAAGAATGTTCAACTTCCTCTCTATGGCAAAATTTTGTGTACGGCCGTATTACCCAACTACGCCGAATTCATATCTTCAAGGGAATAATATAAATATTACAAAAAAATTAAAAATTATTATACAAAAATATTTTATTTTCTAATTCAAAATTCATATTTTCATTATGTTTTGCTTTTATTTTCAACAAACAAAAAAAAAAAAAATAATAATACGTTCTGTCATAGTTGAATTTGTACGTCGACGTATTTCGGTAACTTTCATATAAAT